TTTTTTTTTTTTTTTTTCCCCCTTATTCTAAGGCAAACTTAATGCTGTCTTCCTAATCTCTGAATTTGGAACAATTTTCTTTTGTCAGGAGCCACTCAATATTTTATGATGAATTACAAGTACTATTCCATAACAAAAAATGCAACCTGTAGTTTGCCTTTCTAAACGAATACTCTTGTTTTATTAGTATTGTAAACCATTTATATGAAGAGGACTCTTTCATTTTTGTTTTTCTTGAAATTTAACATAATGGAACACTACTAGTACTACCTAATACAAAGTTTATCAGAATAGGGTAGAGTGAGGTGGCTAACTGCAGCACAAGTGGCATGGACAGCCTCTGTGGGTGACATGGCTGATTGGGAAGGGAATTGGAGTGGCCCTCTGAGAGGATGCAAAGCATAATGTGTGGTTCCCCTGCCAAAAAGGCTAGCTCCCCACTGGGGTAGTATGGTCTGTCATGGCTCTGTTTTATAGTATGTAATTCCTGATTTGACTCCCACCCTCCCACATGGAGTCTTGTAAAGATGGAAATTCTTATGAGTCACTTCAGCTTATTATAATGATGTAGGTATAAACAGGATTCTATCAGGAGGTAGGTAGACTTGCAGTCATCCTAATATCAAATGACTGCTTAGTCAAATTAGCAGTCATTAGCAGTACCTTGGGTGTACGTGGCTTGTAGTTTGTATTGTGCAAGAGAGATCAAGTAGGGTGCCCAGAGCATGTGTTACTTGTCCAATTAAATCTATTGACCTGTTCCATAAACTCTCTCTAAAAGTATTTAACACTTCAAAGTTTATAACGCTTCCATGAAATGATCCCGAACACTTGCCCTATGCTGTCATTGGAGATGGCCAACAAATGTGAGTAATAAAAGGGGATTTCAGCTTCTTCACACATAGGATTTTCACTCAAGTCTTAACTTTGTTCTTAAATTTAAGTATCTGCTTGTATAATTTTACCAAGGCCATGCACAGAAAGTATAGGTCTACAATACAAATCCCTGTTCAGAGCAGGGAGTGGTGTCCTTGTCACTTTTTTTTTTTTTTTTTTTTTTTTTTTAAACCACAGGTCTGAA